CCTCCAACCTACTAGCAATGGCCTCCAACCTAATAGCAATGGCCTCCCACCTGATAGCAATGGCCTCCAAGCTATTAGCGATGACATCGAACCTACTAGAGATGGCCACTAACCTACTAGCGATGGCCTCCAACCTACTAGCAATGGCCTCCAACCTACTAGCAATGGCCTCCCACCTAATGGCAATGGCCTCCAACCTAATAGCGATGGCCTCCACCTAATAGGAATGGCAATGGCCTCCAACCTGCTAGCAATGGCCTCCATCTAATAGCGACGGCCTCCAACCTACTAGCAATGGCCTCCACCAAACAGCACTGGCCTCCAACCTACTAGCGATGGCCTCCAACCTACTACTCTGAGGGATGCCCCCCAAAAACTCACCTCCATGCTGGACTCGTATCTGCAAGCCTTCACTGAGCAATGGCCCCCACCTAATAGCAATGGCCTCCAACCTGTTAGCGACTGCCTCCAACCTAATCCGCCCGCACCGAAGGTGCTGAGGCGTCGTCTCAGCTCCCGTGGACCGCTAGTAATTGGTAGATCGCTCATCAAGCTTTGCTCTGGAATGTACTGCTGTTGATGCCTTCTAAAAACCGATGAAAACCGAGCAAATCATTGGCGATGTTCGTTATGCTGCGGAATGACAATGCATCATTGACATCGCGTGTGCTTGCCCCTGCGGCCTTCCGGAAAGAGCAACGATAAAACTATTGATAATGTTAGTTATGCTGCCCGAATGGAATTGTATGAAAAATGTGTGCGTGGTTGCACCTGCATGCACCTGCGGATTTCCCCATTGGTGCTGATTGGTACCGTGGTCGATATCTAAGACGCAACGTCCGGTAATACGGTCAGGGAGCACAAGCGCTTTCCGCGCGGGCGATCTTCGCCGCGAAGCGGTGTGAATAGCGTTGACCTCCAACCTACTAACGATGGCCTCCACCCAATAGCAGTAGCAGCATAGCAATGGTCTCCACCCAAAAGCGATGGCCTCCAACCTATTAGCGATGGCCTGCAACCTACTAGCAATGGCATCCAACCTAATAGCAATGGCCTTCAACCTACTAGCGATGGCATCCAACCTACTAGCGATGGCATCCAACCTACCTGATAGCAATGGCCTCCAACCTACTAGCAAGGGCCTCCAACCTGATAGCAATGGCCTCCAACCTACTAGCAAGGGCCTCCAACCTGCTAGCGATGGCCTCCAACCTGATAGCGATGGTCTGCAACCTACTAGCAATGGCATCCTAACCTAATAGCGATGGCCTCCACCTAATCGCGGTGGCCTCCGTCTGGTGACAACTTATATACAGTAGTATGTCTGTTGCCAAGTCTGGCGAGGTTGAGAAGCCGGCGGCTCCGTGAGTTTCTCATTGATGTCAACACCCGATCTGATGATTTGGACCTGGTTCATTGTTGATGACGGATTTGTCAGCACAGCAAGCTACTCAACTTGCGGCAAATTGGACCAGGCACCACCATCTTTTCAGTATGTCCTTTCCTGCAAGGCTCCAAATGTGGGATCAGAATTGCGAGACTTTGGATCAGAATACTAAGGCAGCGGCCACTTGCTGGTCAAGGCCTGGAGCAATTGCCCGGGGCAATAATTCCTTGGCGAGTCAAATCGAGTCCTCGTGCATTACAGACTGCACATTGGTGCAATCGGGAGCAGTCTGTACTCTGTACACGCACTTAACTCACGATGCCAAGGGATCAACCTTACTACACCCAAGCAAAATCATTATACGTACGTTGGACTTATAGTAGCACATGCTGGTCTGCTGCGGTTGCTGCTGCGGCCGCCAACAATTCTACTCTGTACTGCACATCACTGAGCTTTCAGTTCAAGACGCTTGCAAAAGGCTAGCTGAGATCCCTGTTGCACAAGTGGCTACAAAAAGCATTATTCTAAATACTAAACGAGCATCACGTCGCTAGTGTCACTAGCGTCCAATTGGAGAAGCTAAGCTGCTGTTGTGTGAGATCCTGTGGATCCTCCTCAGAACTCTCAGACTCCACCTCTGAGTCTGAGCCCTGAGATCAGTTGTGCTTGGCAAAATTGGATTTACCGAAGGATCAAATCCAAAGCACCCGCCTCCTCACCCTTGAGTGAACTGGAGCTTTGGATAGTTGAGGCACCCAAATGATTTCGCCTGACAGAATATTTGAAAAAGAATCAAACGATGTTGCAAGCTCAACCGAAGGTATGAATCTGTGAATACACGGGCCTTTGAAGCGATCGAGAGCTCTTTTTCCTGACAGCGTCTAGTTCCCCCTACTCACATCTACTCACTGCAAAATGCTGATGTTTTTTGGGAGCACTGCTACATACTGTTGGATGCAACCGGAAAACATCTTACTCTGTTGGCTCTGCCATTGGCATTTCCGTCACTGACATGTAGTCTAGTCAATTTCGAGAAATTGGAGATTGACAGCCTCTGCAGTCGCTCTTTGCTGCTTGCTTCGATTTCACTTTCCTGCATGCATTAGCTTGTGGAAGCTTCTTTAATTAGCATAGATGCTACATTTCTGTCCTCCTCAACCATTGGAGAATTCAGACATTATCATCGCACTCCGAACGCATCGTCCACTTGAGTCGAAGCCAAAACTATAAAGCTGCCGTGTAACATGTAACAATGTAATATCATGTGCAGTCATGAGGTGCAAAAAGGCTCCGGTACCACCTGTTGGATTTCTGGGTTGGATATAAAGTCGCAAAAGGTAGTTTGCTCACAAGTGGTGTCACTACTGTCATCCAATCTTCGCATCTTGAGCCAAGTGGCCAAGAGTGAAGAGCCAAAAGCAACTTCAAATGTTTGGCCATGGCCCTTTCTTCCAATGTTTGACCATGGCCTCGAGGACTTGATCCGACACCAAGGAGTGCCCAAGTGCCTGAGATGGCAAACTGACCTACAAAACACAGCGCCTACCACAGCAACATATTGCAACTTGTAAAGCGGAATCGTGCCTTGATCTCACTCCGGATCTGGATAGCACCTTCGAAATCATCTTGAGCGACTGCCTCCTGCAAGCTCCATTGTGCTAATGATGACCGGCCAAGAGATGCCTGCCTTCTTTTTCTCTTCCGCGACATGTAGACGGCGCAAAATGTCTCCATTAGCCTTGCAACTCAAACGCAGTCGTTCTGCACATTCAATCTCTGCAAAGAAACTAGTAGCTTCTTGCAACTAGTAGCGATGGCCTCCAACCTACTTGCGATGGCCTCCACCTAATAGCGTCCTTGCTACTAGTAGCTTCTTGTTCCCTTGCCTTACATTGTAAAGCCTCCTCAAAGCGGCCCAAACTGCAAAGGCTTCGAGCCAATGCACGGGCCTGGGCGTCTTCTTGATAGCAAAGCTATGGCTATGCAAAGCTCATCGAAGCAGTGGAGTGATGATCACCAGGGCAATGGGCCTCAGCAGCTTCACTTCCACCATCCTCAGGCTCCTGAAATGGTTTCAAGACATATGAGAGTATTGGGAAGAAATTCATGGAACTGCATTATGCATTTCATGTTTGCATTCTTAGGGAAAAAATGATGAATGCATGCAATCATGAAGACCTGTGGCGCAGTAACCACGGCATCCATCATTCAGCATGCAGCTTCCAGAGCCTGACTGTCCTCCGTCACAAAGGGCTCAGGCGTATTGCCTTGGAACGAATGAAAAAATGACAAGTGAAAGGCATCCAAAGGACTTTACCAGCATCTTGTCAAATGAAATATCCACGTGCGTGTGCACAATGACCACCGATAACTCATTCACTACGACTGATAATACGTATCACAGCACGGCCAGGCCTTGCTTTGGCACCTCGTCAAAGACTAGTGGGCTGGGCGATGGTTTATCTTCTGCCTCCTCAAGCTGTGAAACGACTCCAGAAAAGTAATAGCTTAACCTAATGCAGCTACGATTTCAGCAGTTGTTCGGAAGTCACCGCTCCAACAACCAAACGGTTGTACGATTGTGGTGCTGATGATGCGAGCAAGTTAACTTCAAACTATCTGCATTATATCTTTGCCCCTGCAAGTTATTGCAATGCTCCCCACGAAGCTACAATTGCCTAGTTTGTGATCAACCTGTTGACAACCGGAGCACTGACACTCTGAATCATGCAAACACATTGTTTGATCAGCAAACAACTTCAAAACAATTCAAGGACTTCTTTGCTTGCGTTCTTCTGCAGTTTTGGTGGCAAATGCGTACATTGCGGAGACGAGGTCGATGTTGCGTGGGCAACGGGTGCTGGGCACGTCGATTGTCTGTGCTTATGTCACATCTGACACCTCTGGACATGCCCAGATCACGCATGTGTTCTTGACATGTTAGCTTGCTTCTCAGGGTTGTGTGCAGATAGTCTCAAGGGCATCGCTACTAGTAACAAGGGCATTACGACAAGGAACAAGAAGCTAATTACTAGGAACAAAGGGCATTGCTTTTAGGAGCAAGAAGCGACTGTGAAACGTGGAAAGTCAGGGGCTCTGGTGCTGTTTCTTGCAGCCCTCCCACGGCCTTCTCCGCAGTACCTGCGGGAAATGTGCTTCCTTGAGTCACTTTAACAGCCAAACATACACACTACGGTTCCAAAAATAATGAACTCCCGAAATAAAAGAAACGCGCATATCACAAAATTAATTAATGTTTGAAGATGTTTGAAGACTTGTGGGCATCAACTTGTCAACCTATAGGCCACCCTATTCGACTTGTTCGCCTCCCGGAGCTGAAAGATCAAAGCCAAAGGATGCCCAATCTGCGAAGCAGCCAGGGGTGTCCAAAATGTGCCAAGATGAAATATCCGCTTTCTGTTTGTATACAATTTCATGAAATGTCATCCATATTTAATCATATTTATAGCATTAACAAGAAGCATTTGGGCCAGAACCTTCATCCGCCTGTTGACGGACTTCTGTGGGTCCTCCAGCATGGCCAGAAGTATGTGAGTGTGTTGATTTGGGTGCTGACATTGGGCACAATCAACTATCTATCAATTGCAAGTGCAAAACATCAAAATGCAGCATGTGTCAGTGCTGCAGCTGATAGTTTGCTCACAGTGCAGTAAAGTACTCTCCTTGTGCACCATCAAAGGCATTCCAGCTTTCAGGCGGTTGAAATGGCTGACTAGGTTGAGTCTCTGATCCTGGAAAGGCTTCGCATCTTCCCAGAAACTTCGAAACGCATAGCTCCTAGTAGCTTCTTGTTCCTAGTAGCGTCCTTGTTACTACTAGTAAGGCACTTGTTACTAGAAGCGATGCACTTGTTCCTAGTAGCTTCTTGTTCCAACCTCAAGTTTGATCCGGCATAACCTCAAGTGCAAGAGCGCGCTTTTTGATCAGGCTCGAGCTGGACCAAGGGTGTCAAGTCCCCCTTGAGCGCTGGTCTTGAAGGTGTCACTTTCCCGGCTGCCACGCGAATTGCATGCGGATCGCCTTGAAAAATCGACACCATTGGCTTCAGAAGCTGTCGTGCCCTTTCTTTGGGCAAGGGTTGCTCTCGAATTTCCTTGCTCGTCTCATTCCCGCCACAAGGTAGTATGTCTTCCAGACTGAGAGGTCGATGACATCGCTGCACAAACAAAGTGGCAGATTCCAAGGAGCTGAGAGGAGGCAGTTCAACATGCACGGCTTTGACAATGTCCTGAAAAAGATCCCAGTGAGGTGACCTGCATCCAAGCAGTAAGAAGAAGTTTGGGGATTTCAGGTTTCTTCGAAGTATGTCTTTCTGCACTGGCAACAGAGAATCTGCGTTGTCGACGATCAAAAGCCCTTTTGCCAATGGCTGCACTGGCCCAAAGATACAGTGTCCTGAAAACCTGCGCCCAGGCGCTGACACATATCGAGCAATTTCCACAAGCGTGGACGTGCGTCCAAGTGATCTTTGGCAGTGCAAAACAACAACTCTCCTCTGTCGAAGGAGTTGCAAAACTGTTAGCATGGTTTCTTCTCGGCCAACAAAATCCTCCACTTGCCCAGGAAGTGCAGCTGCTGATAGTATCGCTTGCCATTTATTGGACGCTTCTGGCAAAGGCTTCACTTCCAAGATTACATCATCAGCTGAGTGCAATGTGAAACCTGCATCAAATCCCTCTGGTAGTGTTGCCTGGACCTCTGCAAGGGCTATGCTGAATGCATTCCTTAATGACCTCTTGCATGCCAAAGCTAGGTAGAAGCTCTTGGCGAAACTGCTTGCACTGGCATCCGAGACAGCTTTGCTTGTGTATACGATGTGTCTCACCCCAGCTTGGTAGAAAGCGGCTGCAAGCCTCGCAGACCAAAGGAAAGAGCTTGGCTCTGCAAACTTAAAAATGTATGGAGAAGATTCTCAGATCCTGAATCAATGTATATAAATGATTTCTGCAAATTTTATCATTTACATTCCATGTCTCAGACCTTTGATTCCAAGAAGCGCTTCTGACCTGCAGTTTGAGAGGAATACAAACGATGCAGCTGGTGAATCACCACCACTTCGCAGCAAGCGCTCCAAAGCATTCAGAGTGAGAGCCTCTTAAGGAAACTTGCCAGGGCAAACGGTTCTAACCCAAAGGCCATTGGGAAGGTGGATTTGGGCTCTAATGAGTCCGCCATATGTGATAGAATCCCAATGGCCAAAAGGAAAAAAGGACAAAAGCAAAAACCAGTGCGCCTCTGTGCCCCCACAGCCATCTTCAAGGATTAGTGCATTTCCATTCACTGTATGGGCAGAAAGATGAAGCCAAAGGTTCTTAGCTTCGGTGACCGCTTTTCGTAGGTTATGAATGGTGGCCACATCAACTTCCACAGGAAGTGCCCCAAATAAAGCCTTTTCCACAGCCGAGATCTCACGATGTATTCTCAAACGAGGTAATGGAGCCCAGGTGGGCTCACCATTGGCCCGAGTCAAAATGCAGAGCGGTGAGGCGTGCAGCAAAAGCAATCGCGTTGGACTGTTTGTTTGAACATCCGCTGGCTCCATCAACTGCTCGGCACTTGCTTCCACAAAGTCACTGAGTTGCTTCACTTGTCGCCATGGACTTGAAGGACGTCTCGGCCGCATGCGACAGACCATGTCAAAGTACATGGCCTGCAGGCGTCTCACCGCCTTTGCCTCCGGAGACTCAGTAAAATTGGGCGCTTCTGGCCCTACCTCGTACCAAAGCAGTAGTACGTCTGCGTCGCTACTGCGAACCAAATACAAAGCACATGCACAAATCACCACGAAGAGTGCAAAGTCAATGCGCTTTCGAGGAGGTAGCATGCCATTGAGCGAATCAAAGTAAAAGTCCTTTTCACTTCCAGAATGTTCACACTCTCCGTTTGTCTCAGCGGCAGTATCTGCATCTGTAAAGAGGGATAAGTCTGGAAACGACACCTCTGTATCCTCAGTGAGCAGGTGGTTCGGCTGTCTAAGGTTGATTGCAGTTTCCGCAAATCCGGACACCTTTACAAGGTTGAGGACTTCAGGATCTGCAAAGGGCCTACAGTCCAGTATGAATTAGTACTTGGTATACTCCAAAGCACTTCTTCAAGTTCAATCTGCTGATTGATTCGCACGACCTCACGATTGTGTGCACCTCGCAGGTGGGTCACCTCATCAAGAACCATCCAACCTAATTAGGCTCTCGCCACCAGTC